GCCGGGCCGGACCCCCCAGCACCCCCCCCCCCCCCCGGCCCCTTCACCGTCTCTCCGCCACCGCTTCCCCCCAGGTCTCCGAGCGGTACCGGCGCCGGGAGACAAGCGTGCTGCCGCCCCACATCTTTGCCGTGGCCAGCCGGGCCTACTACGGCATGCTGGGCCGTCGGGGCAACAGGCCCCAGAACCAGAGCATTGTCATCAGGTGAGGCCTGGGTGGGCGGCCGGGCCGGGCGGGGGGCTCGCCGGAGCCGGGCAGAGGTGGGGGGCCGGAGGGTGGCCAGCGGAGCCCCGCTAAAGTTTCAGGTGAAGCTCGTCTCCAGCGCTGTGGGTGAGTCAAAACCCAGCTGCGCTTGTGTCCTGGTTCTGTCCCCTCCCCAGATCTTGCCCAGCCCTGGCCTGCCGTTGAGGGGGGCAGAAATGCTGGAGAGACAGCCTTGAGGCTGTGCCAGCACTGCTCAGCAGCAGCCAAAACACCGGAGCGTTATCAGCACCTTTCTAGCTACCAGCACTACGAGGGCTGCTATGGGGAGAAATAACTCCAACTCAGCCAGACGCAATACAGCTTGCGGCGCATCGCTCTTCCCGAGCTGCCCGCTTTCCAGACAGGAGGGCGGGCAGGTCGCGAACGGAGGTGCCCGGCAAACAAAGCTGGCTTTTGTGGAGCAGATCGGCTGCCGATGCTGGTAACACAGCTCAATGTTTCGGGTTTGCTTCTGGAGGGATGTGGCGTTGGAAAGATTCAACCAGCTCTGGGGAAAGCCACAGGGTGCTGCTCTTTGCCAGAACAACTCCCACCGTAACTGCTGTAATAAAGGTTATACGTAATGAAAGGAACCTGTTTTCCCAAAGCGGAGCTTTCCATATATAACCAAAGAGCAGAAGAAAAAAAAGTAGAAGCCTTTTTTTTCCGCTAAGACCTTTGGGAATCCAGTCAGGGAAAATCTTATTGTCATGGGCAGTTCCGTGCACTAGAAGTGAAAAAAATGGACTCGTGTAACCAAAGTGCGTACCAGTGTCACGAGTGCTTCACTCCACATTGTCACTACTGTTCCGCTGAAACTGTGCAGGGCAGCAGATAGCGTCAGCTAACAGGGAAAGCCTCAAATCACTGACTGCCTGTTCCGGGTATTGTAAAGAACTGTTTAAATGTCACTGCAGTTAAAATGTTAATTGCCAGCTTGTTTGATTTAATATCCCCCCCTTTATATTGGCCTTCTGATCATTTTGTCAGTATTTTCAGTCTACAGACTTGCTGAATCACTGCTCAGTGTTGTGGTGGGACTGGGAGCTGACCTTGAGGGTCACTTGAGCCCCACTCATTTCCCTAGTCTGCAAGCCACCAGTGCCTGCGCTTTACTTGAAGTGCTCTCATGAAGTGGTGACTGTGGAGTCAGCAGGTGGAAGACATGCTGCTGGTAGGGCTCTTAGGGGTGGAGAGCAGTCATAGTATGTGTCTTGGGAGATGGAAGACAAGAAAGAGTAGCTTGTGAGTGTTTGCCAAGAAGTCAGTGGCCTGATTGTTTTCTGCCAGCAGTTTGTGGTCTCAGAGATGAGAGTCTGAGCTGCTCCTGTGCATCTTGCAACCCTATTAACTGGTGTGTATGTTGCCAGTGGTACAGCACTTTGGTCTCCTAGAGATGACTTCGCTCTTCTTCACAGCCTGGGGCAGTTACACATCTGCGGCTGGATAGTATTTGCAGGACCTGCTGAAGCTTTTGTGCTTGTTGGAGGGTACAAGGACAAGCTTGAACCATGGGAGTGCTGACTGATAGTGCTTTTGTGGAGGAAGCATGTCACTGAAAACAAAGAAAGCATCTTGCATACTGAGCGGGGGTGCTGTCTGGATGGCATGTTCTCAACTGGCAAAATGGTCTGTCTTTGTGCATATTCAGATGGCGATGGCCTGATCTGTGCTTGAGATCAGGTATCTGTTGTAGTATTTGAGGTATTTAGCCACCTATGACACATACTTGATCCCAAGCGCAGAGCCACTGGGAGCTAAAAGCAGTAAAGCCACACCAGATGTTCAAAGGTCGGGTGTGGAAAGGGAGACCTGCCTTCAGGTATATCTTCAGCATTTCCTGCATTATTTTTTTTCTGCGCATACACTGAAGTTCTGTGCTGGTATGATGTTGTCAATCAAGGACACGTCTCACTGATTGTACATTCCCCCTCCCAGGACAGGGGAAACTGCCCTTGCCAAGTGCTGCTTGTTTGACTTGGGGGCAGAGGTGCTTGGGCATGTATGATGGCAGAGTGACGTGCACCGCTGCCACTGTGGGTGTGTGGATGGCTCTGCGGTGGCGTGCCCATGTTCTCAACTGGCTGATGCATGTGAATGTGTGAAGTGCCTGAGATTCGAGATTGCAACAGTATCTCAAGATCAGTACTCAGTTGTGGATATGAGATAGATGGGGAAATCTCTTTGAAGGAGGAGGAAGCTGTCGACTCCAGCATATGTGGGGGAGTCGATGTATCAGATCACTTTTGAAGGAGGTTGTTTACCAGAAGTTAGATATATTTTTTTCTTAAGAAGCAGAGCAAATGGTCTGTCCAGTGCATCCCATCCAGAAGTGATGGTATGGGGTATACCGGTACTCCTTTGCAGATGGGGAAAAAAATCCACTGGGGGGAGGGATCAGGACCTTGTGGGACTCGCTGTGTAAAGCTGTGGTGTGAGTTTGTACTCATACATGCAGTTCAGCTGAAAAAGTTGTGAAGCTCTTGGACAGGAGAGCACACTCAAGTGATGGGGCACTGAGGCATAAGGGGCAGAACAGCTATACTTTACGGCTGCTGGAATTTCGTTTGATTTTTCTTGGCAGTGGAGAGAGCGGTGCAGGGAAAACAGAGAGTACGAAGCTATTGTTGCAGCACATAATGAACCTATGCAAAGGCAACTCACAGCTGGAGCAGCAGATCCTTCAGGTAGGTCATTACAGGATGGTACTTGAAGATGCAGAAGCAACACTGCTACAAGACAACTTGCATTAGCCTCGGGAAGCCTGCTGATGAATCACCACTGGAAGTCAGGAAGCAAAACATAGGACACATAAGAAAATGGTGCGTGAGGATGGTGAAGTAGCTGACCACAAACTAGAATAGTTGGTAGGTCAGTAATTCTGTTTGCTGGGAATGTATTGGTATCTTAAATGATAGAAAACTATTGCTATTGTTCATCATGTTCTCTGTGACAAGGGGTTAGGTGCATTTTCAGAATAATTTCCTGCTTGAGGTAGAACAAGGACTTTTATTAGAAAAATGAAGTCTTGTTTTAATGGTACACAAGGATGGAGAATCCACACAGCCTTCAGTCACCTTTCCTTGGGTATTTATACTTACACTTACTGTCAGGCATGTACCTGCTAACTGGTTAACTTCATCTTTGCTGTTTTCATATACTTTTGCTAGCTGATTTTGAAATGTATTTGTCTCTTTGGTCTGAACTATTTCCACTTGAATTGCTCCCCAAGGTGTTGTGAGGTTTTCTGAGCAAAGCATAGTTTAGCCTTCCATGTGGTAAATTAAGCAGAGTGAGTTCTTGGACTACTTCATTTTAAAGTCTGTGTTTTCGGGTTTACTGTAGAGCCAGAGAGATCTTTTTGTGTGTGGTGGGTTAACTTTGGCTGTACACCAGGTGCCCACCAAGCCACTCCCCCTCCTCAACTGGGCAGCCGGAGAATAATATGACAAAAGGGTCATGGATTGAGATAAGGACAGGGACATTACTCAGCTATTACTGCCACAGGCAAAACAGACTTGACTTGAGGAAAATTAATTTAATTTATTGACAATTAACATCAGAGTAGGATAATGAGAAATAAGACCAAATCTTAAAACACCTACTCCCAACTCCTCCCTTCTTCCCAGGCTCAACTTCACTCCCGATTTCTCTGCCTCTTCCCCGCAAGCGGCACAGGGGGATGGGTAATGGGGTTGCAGTCAGTTCATCACATGCTGTCTCTGTCTTTCCTTCCTCCTCATGCTCTTCCCTGTTTCCAGTGTGGGGTCCCTCCCACGGGCAACAGTCGTCCATGAACTTCTCCAACGTGAGTCCTTCTCACAGGCTGCAGTTCTTCACAAACTGCTCCAGCGTGGGTCCCCCACAGGGTCACAAGTCCTGCCAGAAAACCTGCTCCAGTGTGGGGTCCTTCATGGGCTGCAGGTAGATATCTGCTCCCCCGTGGACCTCCCTGGGCTGCAGAGGGACAGCCTGCCTCACCATGGTCTTCCCCACAGGCTGCAGGGGAATCTCTGCTCCGGTGCCTGGAGCACCTCCTCCCCCTCCTTCTTCACTGACTTTGGTGTCTGCAGGGTTGTTTCTCTTGCGTATTCTCACTCCTCTCTTCTGGCTGCTGTTGCGCAGCAGTTTTTCCCCCTTCTTAAATATGTTAACACAGAGGCGCTACCACCATTGCTGATGGGCTCAACTTTGGCCAGTGGCAGGTCCATCTTGGAGCCAGATGGAACTGGCTCTGTTGGATGTGGGGGAAGCATCTTGCATCTTCTTACAGAAGCCACCCCTGTAGCCCCCCAGCTCCCAAAACCTTGCCACACAAACCCAATATACTGTGCCATGCTTTTATGTCTGTAATGGCATGTTATTTCAGTGTGGTATTGTCCACGGTGGATCCGAGGTGAATGTTTGTGCTCTGTTGTGGGAAGGTGGCATTGATACACCTGCTGGCTCTGCTTAGAGCTGGCTTGGGCCACACTGCCAAGCTGCTTCTGACCTGAGCAGGTTCAGGAAGCAGGATAGCTGTGTTTGCTCAGCATAGTGCCTGAAGCCAGCCTGCAATTCCTCAAGTAGAAACAAAGTTCACTTCAATCCAGGTGAGCTGCCCTTGGAAAGCCTAGAGGTGATGGTGAAGAAATAATAGGAATCTTATTTGGTTCCTGTAGATATGTTCAAGGACTAAGTTAGCCCTTTTGGGATTACAGTGTCATGCTGTAAAGCTGTGTTCAGCAGGCTGCCCAGCATGTACCCTAAGGCATTGTTCTTCCAGTTGGCAGGCATTATTTGCTCAAATATAGAAAAATTGTCATTTCACCTTGTTTGTGTCAGTTGACCAAGCTGGTCTGATTGTTCTGTTAGTTTCTTTATAATTTGCTGTCCTGAGCCTTACACTGTCTACAAATTTCAGTACCTAAGTTACCATGCTTACATTTACTGAGTGCCATGTTTACCTTGTTTATTGCTGTAGTATAGCAGTCAAAATTATCTAGTGATACCATGTCAGATACTTTGTGGAAATCTGTTATACCAACCTTATCTTTTAACAAATGAGTCAGTGATCTTAGTGAGATCTAATCAGTTTAATCAGTTTGATTGTGCTTATTTTCAGTAATCTTATGCTACTTAGTCTTTGTTATATTTGCCTCTTTCAGTTCCTTTATCCAGGGTGTGATAAAATAGGTGCTCTTGGGTACTCATGGAGTGCTTCCTATTCCAGCTGAATGCTGAATAGTAAATGCTGAAGTTAAACTTTTCCAAGTAAGTTAGATTGGATCACTTAATTTGAAGAATGCTTCTTCTGCTTGCTCACTTCTTTTAGGTAAATCCGTTGCTTGAAGCTTTTGGCAATGCCCAGACTGCGATAAATGACAACAGCAGCCGCTTTGGAAAATACATACAGCTGCGTTTCCAGAATAATACAGGTAAAGTCAAGGGCAAATACTAGTTTGGGGCATGGTTAGGCACTGGAGGGAGTGGACTGAGTAGCCAGAACTTGTGGAGGGTGAAGTTTTGACACCCGACTCCCTGTGGGAAGGGTGTGCAATTCTGTAAAATCTTAGAGCAACCACAGCTGTTGGATAAGACCTGGGTTTGGACAGTGTGGGAGAACAGGAAGGAGATGGGGGTGACAGTGCAGGGGAGGAATCACTAATACTTTGTAGTGCCAGAAGCCTTGGTTACTGCTAAAGGAAGTGAGCAGACATCTGTAAGATGATGGGAAGCGTGGAGAAGCCCATTTCCAGGGTGCTGGGCAGCCTAGAAGGTGTTGCACACAAGAAAGTTATTTTAGACAATTCCATGCTCCTATCGCTAAATAAGAGACGTGGGACAGCTCAATCAGCTTCATGTCCCCAAGTGCAACGTTTACCCTGTCACCTTCTTGTGTGCAGTGCAAGGTGCAAAGCTGAGTGAGTACCTGTTAGAGAAGTCACGGGTAGTGCAACAAGATATCGGGGAGAGGAATTTCCATATCTTCTACTACATGTTTGCTGGGCTTTCTTCAGAGGAAAAGGAGATGTATGGGCTATTGGATCCTTCACTCTACAGGTACTTCAAAGGCAGACCATCCGTGCCTAGTTTAGTCTTCATGATGGGGGGTGGAGGTGAAAGCAGCATAATGGAGCCTATGCCTCTTGCCCTGTGGCTCTCTGTGGAGCCTGGTACAGGTAAACAAATGAATGGAAGCTGGAGGTGGATCCAAATGGAGCTATGTGAAGAGATCTTATGGGTCATCATGGAAGCTGGGAGGTCTGGAGTCTCTTCTTTGCTGCGTTACCTTGGAAAAGTTTCCCTTTCATGTCTGCACTGCTGTTGATCTGCTTTGTTCCTTTGGGGTAGGACTGACTTGCTGTGCTGGTTGTGTGACGGTTTTGTATGGGATGTACACTTTCTCAGGTACATAAGTGGACGATTTGGTACATCGGATGCAGCTCAGTGCTGGAAGCACAAATACCAAGAGGTGTGCAATGCCCTTGACATGGTGGGCTTTCAAGAACAGGTCAGTTCTGAGGTCGTTTAATTTCCACCTGTGCTTACTGCAGGCGTAGGGTTTCTTTCTGGCTGCTCTTTTGAGGCTCAGTCCTATTTCTCTCCTCTCTGGATTTTCCATGTTGCTTCCAAACCACCTGAGTCTGTCAGGCTTTGTGTAGAGCCTTTTCCCACAGGCTGCCTGTGCCTTTCCCTCACCTCTCCAACTTCTGGGGCCTCCGTGTTGTATATGTTACATGCTGATAAGTTTTCAGTCACCTTTCTTTTGTGTTTTAGGAGCAAGTGGACATGCAGACTATCTTGGCTGGTGTGTTGTCTCTGGGCAATGTGACCTTTGAGCCTGGGGAGAGTGATGGGTCTGTAAAAGTGAGTGAAGTCTCCCAGGGATGGCTGAAGGCTGCAGCGGTGAGTCACAAGAAGACCTGACAGAAACCTTATGGATATGATGCTGGTTCCCACGGGCAGTGTGTCTGCAGGAGCTGCTCCTGCCAGAGGTGGCAGAGGATGATTCTGACTCGGAGTGTGAAGGCTCCTGAAGAACACAGAGGTTTTTCCAGAAACGCACAGTATGACCCCATGACTGCATCTGTGTTCGCTGCTATTCATTCCCAAAGACACACTTCCCAGCTTCTATTTCTTGTGTGTCTAGAACCAGTGTCTTGCATATGGCAATATCACATGTGCCTTGTTGACTTCATACAATACAAGGTTTTTAAAATTAAATGTTATGTGTTACTAAGTGTGATGATACCTTGGAGAAATTCGGGTGTGCAGTATCTGAACACTAGTTCTGTGTTTTCGACAGATCTTGTCCAAGCATACCACCTTAACTGCTATTAATTTTTGTTGGTTATCCAGAATTACACTTTCTACTCTTTCACATGAAATTATCACAGATTAAGAAATATATATTCCCCAGGACTATCCCTTTTTTATCATATGGGATGGAGGCATTATCCTGCTTTGTTAACAACACAGAACAGAAAAATATAATGTATTTCTGCCCTTTCTATGTCTTTTTATTTGAAATGCCAGCAGCCTTGGTTTTTGGTTTCACTCCCATCTCTTTGCCTGTTTCCCTCCTACACCACACCTGAAACAACCACCTGCATCTGTTCAGCAGCCAATTTCTTTTCGTCTTGCTTCTTACAGTCTGCTCCTTGTTTTTTCCCATGGGAGGGGAATTCCTGTTAAAGCAGGCACTTGGGGGTTCAGTTGTGTCTGAGTTCCCTTTGTTTCCTGTCTCTTGTGGGTTCGTGTGACTGATGTCTGCTGAAGTTCAGACATCTCAGCACCTGCACAATCACCTCCGTGTGGTGCTGTTCAATAAGTCATTAAACGACTCAGCAGGAACTGGCATGGTTCCCAAAGAAGGTGAAAGGTGGCAGCACAAAGTATTTCAGAGAAAGTGCAAGAGTGAGCTTGGTCACTGCAGGGATAGTGCAGAACTCAGAGCCCAGATCCGACTCCAGTGCTATGAAATGTTAACAGTAGTACTTATCTTACAGCAGAGCTCAAAGGCCCTTAATCTGAATCATGACCCTGTTACACTGGTTGTCGCACAGACGCAAGGAGATAAAATCCCCACAAGTAGAATAAGGGTTTACTCTTGACTGTCCTCATCTATTTTCTCTCTCCCAGAGTCAGTTTGGAGTCCAAGAAGATGAACTGTTAAATTGCCTTATTTGTACAATGTCGGTGACCCGAGGCGAGCAGATTCAGCGTTTTCACACCCAGCAGCAGGCAGAAGGTAAGAAACATAATGAATTGCAGATGTGCTGGCTAGAAAAACTGATCATATTTGATGGAAGGGTATCCGTACACATGTGCAACTTGTTGGGAACAAAGATGTCTGTGCCCCTTCATTCCTCTTGCACAGAGGCAAGTATATCAATGTTTATGTTTAGTCTTTTACTGACATGTAGGACCATGAATGCTGCTTTTGTTTGATCTCCAGGAGACTGCAGAGATTGAATGAGAAACCAAGGAATTAGCTTTGCTTTCTCCCTCAGTCCAGCCTAGGAGGAAACTGTAGGTATTTGTACAAAAGAGTGGAAGGCTCCTGTTGCAGAGTGCTGGCAGTGTGCAGAGCTCTAGGTAGTAGATGGAGAAATAACAGAGAATCAATGAGATAGCACGGTATCAGGGAAGGAGTGAGGTGAAAGGGGAGTATGTTAAAGTAGCAAGAACAAGGTGTTATTTTCACTTTCGGTAAGAAAAGAAAATAATCCAAGATAATCTGCACAAAAAGCTGCAGTTAAAAGATTTAAAAAATAAATTAAGAAAGCATGAAATCCCAGGATTTCTAAATTATTGCTTAAAATAAATGGAATAAAAACTGAAAATGGGGAATTAGCTAGTTCTTTTTCCCAAATGTCTTCTCTTGCATCTCTCTGGACAATAAAATATATGTCTCCCATCATGCAGTAGGTCATGTTGATTTGGTCTCATTCTTCTTAGATGTCAACAAGTTTTCCATCAATTGCATCCTCCTCTTGCGCACAGTGTTTAAACACTTTGCAGCTGTAGGTTAGGAGGAACAGAACCATTCAATTTGCCAGGTACAACTTGGAGCGTCTTGCTTGGTTTAGCTGTGAGGGGATCCATACTCCATAGACCTGCGAGGGGAAAGCACGTCTCTGGATATTCTAAAAAGTGGCTGGACTTTTTTTGAAATTAAATTTTCCATTTTAAATGGTATCACAAGTGCCCTAGTATGCCGTATCTGATCTTGTAGAAAGATCATGAAGATTTTGGAATGAAAGAGCTCTGTGTGAGCATGCAGAGGACAGGGATGATCAGACAGATATCTAATGTTTATCTGATCTTTAAAATAGCTTCATAAACCCCTAGACATTGTTGCTAGAGGTGAATGTGTTGAGCCAGCTGGTGTGCTGTGTTCCTTTCCTGGTTGATGCTGGGATAGAGTTAATTGTCTTCCTAGTAGCTGGTATAGTGCTCTGTTTTTGAGTTCAGTGTGAGAAGAATGTTGGTAACACACTGATGTTTTCAGTTGTTGCTAAGTAGTGTTTGTGCTAAGTGAAGGATTTTTCAGTTTCTCATGCCCAGCCAGCAAGAAAGCTGGAGGGGCACAAGAAATCGGGAGGGGACACAGCCAGGACAGCTGACCCAAACTGGCCAAAGGGGTATTCCATACCATGAGCCATCATGTCTAGTATGTAAACTGGGGGGAGCGAGGGTGGGAGGATCGCCGCTCAGGGACTAACTGGGCGTCAATTGGCAGGTGGTGAGCAATTGCATTGTGCATCACTTGTATATTCCAATCTTTTTATTATTACTATTGTCATTTTATTAGTGTTATCATTATCATTTTTAATTTCTCTTTTCTGTTCTGTTAAACTGTTCTTGTGTCAACCTGCAAGTTTTACTTCTTTTTCCAATTCTCTCCCCATACCACTGGGTGGGGGAGAAGTGAGTGAGCAGCTGCGTGGTCCTTAGTTGCTGCCTGGGGTTAAACCACGACAGTTCCCTACTCTCCTTGGAGCCCTTCAGTGAGCTGCTGTTGTTCTCTCTGTATAGATGCTCGGGACTCCATTGCAAAGGTGGCATATGGCCGAGTATTTGGCTGGATCGTTTGGAAGATCAATGAGCTTCTGGCTGAGAACGTGGATCCTGAGGTAGAACTGAGGGAGATAGGTGAGTTCTCCCTGCCTTGTTCCTGTCCTGTCCTCATATGTGCATCCCTCAGCCACAATGAAGGAAAGGCACAATATGAGGTTTTTCAGAGATTGCATGCAGGGATCCATTATTAAAGATGTGGTCACGTTGGAGATACTAGTTAGCAGCATGAAGTCTGTAGGGCCTTGGCCAACTGTCAGCAGCTGGTTGGTCTGAAGCAGTTCTGGGGCACTCTGGGTTTGCAGAGGAACCGGGGGTCAGAGTGGGGCTTCTCCTAACCAGTTCTCCAAGGGCACTTATGGGAGAGGTGCCACTGGTGACTGGCATTTCCCTGTGCCACAAGAGCTGGATGATGGGAGATACAGTTGTGTGTTGGGGTACACAGTTATCTGCAGGGATGGTCTGCAGGCTCCACGTTGTGCTCATCTTCCCTCTTTTAGGTATCTTGGATATTTTTGGGTTTGAAAACTTTGCAGTGAATCGTTTTGAGCAGCTTTGCATAAACTTGGCCAATGAGCAGCTGCAGCACTTCTTCAACCATGTAAGTCTGCTGTGGGTGATCTCACCTTGCATGGCATGGAAAGCCGAGCACTGATCTACCTGGCATATGAAGGAGAGCTTGGGGAAAAATAGGTCTATTGCCTGGAAGGACAAAAATGGTGATTAATGAAGCAGGGTAGAGAGCAACAACCTTCTCTGCTGTGGCAGGGGAGCCACTGGTTCAGGGAAGAAAAGTAGAAGGGTGAAGCAGTGACCCAAGTTGGCAGAGCAGGGACATTTACACTCTGAGAAGTGTTCCTGCTTTATGCACCAGCATCAGGGAGTGACAGGCTTATGGGTGAGGATGTAGAAAACCAGTTGCATCTTGGGCTTCTCATGCCATGGGTGTCTTCTGTTCAGGGTGGGAAGGAAGATGTTCAGGATTGTCTAGCCAAATTTGCTGGGTGCATCAACCTCTTTTTTCTGTTTCAGCACATTTTCCAGCTGGAGCAGGCTGCCTATAAGGAAGAAGAGCTGCCTTGGGAGACTATCACATTCAACAATAATGAACCTATTCTGGTGAGTGAGAGGACTGACAGAACAGAATTGCTCCATTGAGCCAAAAGAGGAGTCTTGCTCTTTCTATCATGGGGAGGAGAGGCACCTGGGAAGAACCTCTTCAAAGGGTGGTGTAGGTGCAAGTGGATGCCCTGTATTGCTTTAGATATGTGTAATGTGTCTCCTTTTCCTGCAGAATCTGCTTCTGGCCAAGCCAGTTGGGCTTCTGTCTCTTCTGGATGAGCAGAGTGCATTCCCTCAGGTATGCATGAGATAGGGGGCAGAGAAAATAGTGTGGGGGAATGTAGCAATAAATATCTGGGCTGTAGAGAGAGTTCTCACACTGGAGCGTGACTTTAAAGAGCAGGATGAACAGAGGTGTCCCCGTGTGTGACTGATGAGACAGGACAGCCAGATCAGGGACAGTCTAATGATATTGGCATGCCTGTGGAGAGTCAGACAGAGACAGTACAGTACAAAACTGTCGCACAGCCAAGGACACTTCCAACGCTTTGTTTTGCTTCCATGTGCCCTAATAAGGTCTCTGTTGCAGCCTTATCATTTGGTTATGAAATCTGATTTCTTGCAGGCAACTGATAAGACGTTTGTGGATAAACTAAACAGCAGCTTCAAGGCGAGTTTACACTTCCAGCCAGGCCGAGGCCGTGTTTTGTGCTTCAGCATCATTCACTATGCTGGGAAGGTATATATTGTTTGCAGGAAGAATGCTGTTGTAATGTATGTAGGAGAGGGGAAATGTGTTGCTTGACAAATAAGGCTTTGATGTAAAGGAATTTATGGTCCGATTTTGATAATAACAGAAGTGATGTTTTCCCAAGGAGTTGCCTCCTGGGATTTCTGTGGAAGGTATAGGAAGAGAGGACCCCTGAAGAAAGTGAGGCTACCTCTGGGAAGCATAGGGTATTAGAAGAATCTGCTGTACTTGTCATCATTCTATTGGACCTCTTGTCTTAAAATAGTCCTTTATAAAATAAAAGCCTTGCATCCACTGTGCAGCACCAAAGGACAGTGTAATGGCTTTACCTTTACCTATTGGGTTCCAGTCCATAGCAGTCACTATTTTATTGCAAGCACTGAGGAACACAGTGAGAGCAGCCAGTTGTTTTGAAAGTGAAGGCAATACATTCAAATGATATCTAAGCAGCTTGGAATTTAGGACTATGCATGTAACCTTACTGCGACCAATTTTGAAAGCATTAGCCCAAATATGTTGAATTGATTGGAGATAATTTCTGCAGCAGGAGCAGACATGACAATTCAGGGCATTGTAATATGCAATTTAGTCATCTAATCTCACTGTTGTTGACCAAGTTATTACTTATGACATTCTTTATTACAAAAACTTAACACCTAACATAGAAAGGAGAGTGGCAGGCTGGAGATGAGAAAGGAAGGGAGCAAGAGAAACATTGGATGCATGACAACTGGATGAAAACCTATTTAAAGGGAAGAGGGGGAGAACAAGGAAAAGAGTGAAGCATAAACCAAAAGGAAATGAAACTTCATAATCAGGAAAAGGAGAACAAGAAAAGGTGGATGTCTCAGTGTTATGCTGCACTCCTGTGGTTCTAATGCCTCAGTGCCATCTGCTGAGGCAGATGTTCTTCAGGATTTGTATCTGAATGGGGTGTATATGCATTTACAAAATTCACGTGCGAGCCAGTGTACAGAATTCCCATGCAAGCCACTGTACATTCAGTTTAACTGTTGCTCCTGGCAAGCTGTGGAGGTGGCTTTCACAGCAAGCCTGTGAGCACTGCTGGTGTTAGTGACTTGCTGCCCTTTCCCCTAGGTACAATATACTGCTGGGGGCTTTCTAGAGAAGAACAGAGACACCTTGCCAGCCAATGTCCATGGGCTCTTCATCAACAGCGTCACCCCCTTGCTCAGCGTGCTGTTCAAAGGCAAGTCCCTCTGGTATGATAGGGCATCCCATGTGAATCAAGGCCCACCTTGGCAAGAGTTAAGTGTGGGGATGAGGCTTGTGTGCTGTGAATGTGTTTCACAGCTGGCAGCCCCAGGGAGACTCTGGGAAGACTGCAGCCTGGAGTGGGTCTGCTGGCATATACCGAGCTGTCAGAGCTGTTCATTCCCCCCTGGAAAGCAAGGCAGGCTGTATTATCTTCCAGAGAACTGGCCATTGCTCAGATGTCTTCCCTCAGATCAGATAGACTGTCTTCTCCAGGGCCAGTGCAGGACTGTCTCCACTCGCCCTTTCCATATGCTCTGTTCTTGTCTAGAAATGAAGCTGGACAAGGCCATAGCTTCTAGCTGTTCACACTGAAAATAGTGCTGTAAAGCCACAAGCAATGAGTGTAGAGATTATCCTTTTCAAAGACATGGGGGTTTTTTTGGGTACAGCTTGTTAAAAAACTCCAAGGTCATGCATTATTTCTCTCCCACCACTGCACTCCCTTTTTCCAGTTATTGATAAGCCCTCAGTCTCCAACGCTTCTATGAAAGTAAGCTTTTAAAGAAAAGTCAAGTGGATGCTTCCTTGGAATTTGTCTGGCTGAACACAGTGGTTCTGGTGCAGGAATTTTTTTTTTTTTCGGTCCTGTTCAGTCCATGCCACTTTCTGGGATTTCCATGTAATTGATGAATTTAATTTCTATTCTCCGCTGTGTTTTTCAGCTCTTCTGATCAGGAGTATCTTCATCACCACTTCCACACTGTTACTGAAGATACTTAATCTACTCCCAACTCTTTGAAAGTTCATAAACAGCAGAGATAACCTGTTCTTAGATTGGTTGTCCAGTCCTGGGCAGCCAGCTCTAGGTGGCCCTGCTGAACAAAGGGTTTGCCCCAGATGACCTCCAGAGGTCCCTTCCAACCTCAACCATTCTGTGATTCTGTGATTCACATGAGAGCATTGCATCAAGGGTGTGCAAGACTGTCATTAGATCCTTCAGTAAATTCAACTTCCCTGAATTTTTCATCTTGTCACTGAATTAATTTTAAGCTGAGTGACTTTATATAACCTCCCATATTGACTGCTATAGGTGAGCTTCCCATTTGTTATCTGTACTTTTTTCTGCATTGTTAGATGCCCGTTGATGATATTTCTTTTGAAGGTTATTTAGGGTTGTTCAATAACCTGATTGCCTTGCGTTCTCAGTGACAGAAAATAGTGTTGCTTGCATTGTGTGCTTCATATATTTGTATTTTCTTCTCCTTAGCTCTTTCCTTGTATTTCCACATGGTGAAATCTAATGCCCTTCCTGTGATTCAGTATTTGTAGGGAGACTTGTTTGTGAAGTGAGGTTTAAATGTTTAGATGTGGTTGATTTTGAGCAAAGGTACAAAATTAACTGTTGTCTCTGTTCTTCCAGCCACTATCTCAAGGACGGGGACACTGATGCCTCACATGAAAGCCAAGGTATTACACTTAAGGTCCACAAGGCAATTGATAAATGGTGGCATAGTTACCTGATATCTATTATTTGAGAAACTGGCTGAAAATGAGAGCAGACAGAAATTGGTTGAAAATAAGAGCAGACAGCAATCTGCTTGCAACAATTTCTCCTTTGTTTTTTACCAGGTTTTCTGCTTGCTTCTGCTGATACGTTTAATTTGTCTTCCCTCCCCTGAAATCCATTCTCTGTCCTTTTTGCCATCTGCCTTCCAGCAGAGCTCTTTGGATGGCAATCAAGCATTTCTTCCAGGGATGATCTTTTTTTTGGGTCTGGTTTCAGGTCATATCAGGAGCAGACAAGTTCAATAGCACACGAAAACAGTCTGCTGGAGCTCAGTTCCGGGTAAAGTATTGCTACCCTGCAGTGCCCCTTGAGATGAGTGCAGTGATATTTTAATGAGAGCTTCCAGGCTGCTAAGCATAGTTAAAGCACCCAGCGTGCAGACAAGGGTTTTTCTGGGTGCCAAGCACAGCTGATTGTGGTGGGAGTGACCCAGTTGTTACCAGAGCTTTGGAAATTGCTGTGGGGTTGGAAAACAGTTCTCGCTGCCTGCCAGGCTCTGGCAGTGCTTTGGCTTGCTGGACTGTCGATCTTTCTCTGCCCTCACCAGCATTCCCTGATGATGCTCATGGAGAGGTTGTATTCTGCCAGCCCTCACTTTGTGCGCTGTATAAAGCCCAACAGCCAGAAGGAGCCAGGTGTAGTGGACAGCCAGGTGGTGCTGCAGCAGGTGAGGAAAAGCAACGTCCTTTACAGGTACTTCTGCCATGTCTCAGTGGGGAGGGCAAACCCAAACCAAAAGGCTGTGGAGATAGGTGGAGGCTGACTGGTCTGAGTCTCCCCTTGCAGGAGACAGTAGTCACACTTTTTATGTATGTAATTGTTATGGGTACTTGGTTGTTTTTTTGACACAGACTGCTAGGTCCAGGTTTTGCAGTCTTGGTTCTCTCCTGTTTCTTTTTCTTGAATGCAATGAGATCTGCTTGTCAGGCACTAGGATTCATCTTTGCATTTCCTGCATGGGGACTGGTACAGACAGTGCTTCTTCATGAAAAATGATGCTTCCTGAAGGAGACTGTTCTCACCCATCAGCCAGGGCAACTCTGAATAGGAGCCAAGATGGGATCGCTTTGATAGGAGCTGATATGTGCTGATATGACTGTCTTTGGATATTTTGTCAGGTCTGAAATCCAGACACTTTAAAGAATACTGAAAATTATTAGAAGAGTTCAGAAGGCTCTGTGGCCTGTTTAATGTATATAAGAAAGGATAGGATTAAGAGGGAAGTTCATCTGTGCCTCAGAGTACGTACTTTTGTGTCCAGATTTGGAAGTAAAAAGCTAATCTCTAAGGGGCAGAGGCAAAGCAATACCCATGGCTGGAAGGTGAAGTTATTTCAGTCATTGCTTTTTATGGTTTCCAACTTTTAACTGAGAGTGGTTAATCATCAGAGTTACAGGATGTGGTAAATTCAATCTTTAACCAAAGAAACATTTTCAGAAAGAGACTTTTTCATTTTGAACTAGAGATGTTTAGGGCTGAATGAAGGAATTTCTGGCTGCAAAGTAACAAACTGCTGTCCTAATAACCTGTTTCTATTTGTTTCTCTTTGGGGTGCTGCTTCAGCTCCGGTACAATGGACTGCTGGAGACAATACGTATCCGAAGAGATGGTTTCTCCTGGAGACCTTCATTTGAGGAATTTGCTGAAAGGTTTGTTAAAACCTCTGAATGTTCTTTGTTAGATATTGTTAGAGAAGCAACCCTGGTAACCAGATGTGGGCAGGGGGTGAAACTGCCTCTTCAAAGTTCACATGCCTGAGATCATGGGGTTGTTTGCTGTGAGATGCTGAGTGGGAAAGACAGTGATTTATTGTTGTTTTGCTGTGAGGGTGACATGGATCACTTCAGCACATCAAGGATGGGGCTCTTACCTTGCTGAATTGGTTTGTTTTTCACAGATATGGAATTCTTCTAGTTAAACCAGATGTTTCCCTCACAAAAGAAAGGTAGGAACCCTTCCTTTGTTATGTGCAATCCAGTTTGTTCTTCAGACTTCTGCTCTCAGGGTAGCATAGCAAACTGAGTAAAAGGAACAAAGTGAGGATGCGGTTTTGTGGTAATGGGGAACACAAATTCCTAAGCAAAGACAGTGTTTAAAAAGCATTTGGTACAATGATGAATGAAATATTTCAATTCAATTGCTATAAAGCTGTGCTATCCCATGGAATGAGAACTGGCTAATGTACTCAATTTAGGGAGTCACAATAATGGTCAAGGGTATCCATTGAACTCAGTATGGCAGGGGCTCAGCAGAGTTGCCCAGTGCCTCTCCAAGCTTTTTCCTGATGGTCTTACGGGAGAAGAAGATAAAGACAATGCTGAATAAGCAGCCAGCACTGAATGTCTCCCAGGCTAGAAAAGTTGTTTCTGGTCCAAGAATTTTTTTTATGTGTGCAGGCATAATATACCCTCAGCACTTTGAGAAGCTGACTGTTCCTTACACACATAAATGTCCCTCCAGCTCTGCAGTCTTACCCTGTCAGCTTTTTCCTTCCTTACATCTAGGGCAGCAGCTCCCCACCTCCTCTTCTCCACTTCCCCAGTCCCTCCTTTCTGCTATGGTCAATTCTGACTGATAGCGAGAATGAAGCATGTAAAGCAGCCAGCTGAGGGTGTTTTTTAGTCTTTTAAGAAAAGGATTTAAATGTTCTCCTGGAATAGTTCTTTCCTGGCAGTAGCTCCTCCAGCCTTCGCAGTGCTTCCTTGAAGTTACTGACAATTCTGAATTAAGAGTTGCAAACCCAAGTGAGGTCAAGACAGAATCTCACAGATGAGAGACATGATGGTAAACAGGCAGCATGGTGTGTTTTCAGACGCAAAAATCATAGGATGCATTTGAGAAAAGAATTACCATGGATATAGATTGTGGCACAGTGGAAGTTGGCTGAGATAGAAGGAAAGCCATTCTGCTTTGCTATGCAAGATATTAGCAGAAAGTGCCACTATGATTTCACAGCCTAGATTTGCAGGCAGAGGGAGGAAGCTGTCTGTGTGGTGCAGCTAGAGTACTGCTTTCAGTTCCAAGTGCTGGGGAATCTTTCTGAGTGACCCACATTTTATCACTGAAGTCTGCAAAATGAAATTGGAATTGGAAAACAGGCTTTCTCCCAGAAGTCTTGCTGTGCCGACCTTGCAACTTGAGTGCTCCAAAGAGCTTGGAAATGAAATGAGGAAAAACAGTTCTGAGAATAAAATAGGCTCTGCAGAATTGCCTCCCAAGGAGTTGAAGAAAATCTGCCTCTAGGAACCCCTTTGCTGGTGTTCCCAAATGTGATCCTAGCTGTACCTCAAAGAGCACCACAGATTGGCAGCCAGTTACTGAATGTGATCAGGTGACAGGGGGCAGAGAACGTAATGCAGAATCATTGAGGCACTTTCTCCCCCTTTATGTACCTAAAACCACTGGCTGCGTGGTGTTTGCTTTGGGAGGAAAATTATTTATTTCACTTTCTTCCTCTCTTTCAGCTGCTTGGAGATACTGCAAAGTACAGAGCTGACAGGCTGGATATGTGGGTACGTGTGGATCACTGCTGCTGGGAATGGAGGGCCTGAACTGCAGAGACTTTATACATGTAGACTGTTACTTGGTTCCCTTCAGGGAGAACTTTATGACTGTAGGAAAGGCCTGTCCAAAGGACGATGGATGCAAGTTTAGATAAACAGTGTTTCTTACTGCTTCTTTCTCTCCCCACCTTCACAGGAAGTCACGACTTTTCTTTAAATATTGGCACCAGGAACAGCTGGGAAAGTATGTGGAACGACTGGAAAGAGCAGCAGTTGTCATACAGAAAGGTGAGCACTGGGGCAGGAGAGTCCCTCAACTCTGATCTCACACCGGGGCAAGGAAAAACTTTTCTCCGGTCCCTGCTCCACCATTGCACCTTTGCAGGTGACAGAAAGGCAGGCCAGGTGCCATCTCCATGCCAAGGCCTTGGAGTCAGAGTGCTTATTGGAGATGCCCACCTCCTCAGGGCTCATCTTCAGTCAGGGAGAGCCATCAGACAGTGTGAGCCCTGGAAAGAGAAAGCACGTGTGCAGAACTGAGCTGAGCAGGGCAAGCATATGATTTGGCTGCATCCTGAGATCTGGGTAGCCATCCTCTGGAGTGAGGGTTTGTGAGCGGTGTTGAACTGAGGAGAGGGAAAAGATGAGTGAAGCAGATCTCATTCCTACTTTCAGAGACAGGCAGAAGGGGATGAAGTTTTCTTTTGGCGTGTTTTTTTTTCTTTCCTCTCCAGGTAGCATCTGCTCTGGCAGCCTGTTTCTCCAGAGCGGGCACTGTGGGCAGTTTGGTACTTCCCTCTGCACAGGCTGCATGAGGACTGTGCAACCAGGAGGAGGCTGTCGTCCTGCCTGGTCACGCTTCTCTTCTGTATGGGTTGTTGCTGAAGCGTCTGAGCAGCTTCCAGCTATGCACCATACAGTATGACAAACATCAGACTGTCACATGCTGTGCCTTGTTCTCATCCATGGGGAAGATGTGTGGGTAGTGGGCAATGAGGGAGTGTGGCTTTCAGTTCATATGCTGTAGTACCTGGTAGAGTAGGCAGGATAATGCAATGTCTGTAATGCTGCTGCTGAACCCTGTGATGGCTGCTTATGGGAAAGGTTATCCTGTGGGCTGACACCAAGGAAACCCCGTCTCCTGAACAGAATAGCTTTGCTTTTACTGAGTAGTTTCTGAAGGGTACCGAGGAGATAGATGGTTAATAGAGGCCCTTCTGTGAGTCTTTGTTTTTTAGCTATCCTGTGCATTGGCATTAGAGATGAGACCTTAGATTGTAATTTAATTTTTTTAAATTTGTTGTCTGGCACCTTAGAGGGTAGAAGACAGTTCTCATGTGGTTTTGACTGCCTGCTCAAGTAGAGTCTGCATTGCTGTTCATTAACATGATTGAAATATTGAGGGCTTTGCACTGGGTGAAGAAGTATCACCCAGTGTGCTTCCCTTCCCCAGGGAGTGACAAAAGCATGATGAGCATTTTTTTCTAACCACCACTTTTCTCTGAACAGTTTTCAGGGGATTCAGATACAGGAAGAGTTACCTAAAACTGGTGGCTGAGCAGAGAGCTCAGGCACAGAGGCTACAGGAGGAGGCAGAGAGAGAAAGAAGACAGCAGCTGGCGGTGGAAGCAGAGGCTCAGAGTAAGTTATTCCCACTCCCACTGCCGCTGTGTGTGGCCACTTGTGCGATGAACACCTTGAAGTGCTGTAAGCTCCAGGTGATGATGACCTGTCCTCAGCTCTCCTGGGGCTGGGGGTTCCACCGATACGGTGGACAGGGAGGTGCTGACATTTCTGCCATTTGAAAGAGTGGATTTCTCTGTGGGGAGCCAAAAAAGCATGGTGAAGGTAATTTGCCTGGCTGTGTTGGGAGGGGTGCCAAGCTGTGTCTTTCTCACAAACTCCGTGCAGCAGAGCCTGTCCTCGTCTCGGGCATGTGGAGGATGGATCTCATGGACCTTGGATGCTAGTTTTCATCTACTTCTTTCCTCTTCTTGCAGAAAGAATGTCCTTTCCAGTCCCCATGCCACGAAAGAGGCACCCTCGGCCTTCTCCCAGTCCTCCTGATAAGCCACCACAGCCACCAGTGCCACGGCCACGGAGCAAACTAACAGAGGTAGCGATATTGGCTCTGCTTGGGGCCCCTTAGCCAGGTGTGCTGGTTCTCTGCTCCTTCCGCCTTGTGCATGCACACATTCTGCTGCATGTGATCCCAGGAGAATGTTGTCATTCTTGTTATGGAGAAGTGAGAGAGTCCTTTCCTATTGTGGTTAGTTAAAAAAGCATGGTCAGGACCTTTGAGGAACTGGAAGCAGTGTTTGATAGTTTGTGACTGATCTTAAGGAACTCAGGATGGGATTACTACCAAAGTGATCCCTTCAGAGGTCCCCTGCCTTTGACCTTGCTTTCATGCCCACTTTCCCCCTCTCCCCACTTTCAGTCCACTCCTTTCGATAACTTCTTGGACCGTTCTGCACCTCACCCTGTTCTGGGGACAAAGAAACAGGCTGGAGAAGAGGCAAAAATGAGAAAATGCAAGAGAGGAGCAAGTCTTCGCTGGTTCAAAGAGACACAGGCTGAGAAGGTCATGCAGGATGATGGGGCCTTTCCAAGCTGGCTGCATGGGATGATCAGCCGGAGGTGAGTACGCTGGACACAGTGGCTGTAGGTTGGACTGTGGCAGGCAGGCAGAAGCTGCTGTGTCCTTAGGAGGTTGGATTTGTCAGGATTTGCCTCCTTAAGGAATGGGAGTGACCTGTGTAACCTTTCACTTTTAGGCTGTGAGCTTCAAACCCTTAGGGGGAAGCTTGGAGCTCCCTGTCACAGGATGCAAATGCTGAAACTTTACATGGGTCCAGGAAAGACTGTGGAAACTCGGAGGAAATACGTCCACTGTGGGTTCCTAAATACAGATCCTGTGCAGGGAAGGGAGGCTTGGAAAGGACTTGGAGAGGAAATACACACATGCACGTACCCTGTTGTGGACTGTTTGCAGGACATGATATGGAATGAAGATGGACTTTTGGTCAGACTGATTATGACCGTTCTTATATCTCTCAGTTTAGGTCAGGAGGAGACCTCAGTTTACAGCAGGAAAATATGGAATTCGGTGTACATTTATTATTTTAAAATGTATTAAGAGGGCCTTTAGCAAGTACCCAATAGCAAGATTCCCCCAAAGCCCCCAGATACAGGAAAAGGAAGAGTTTTTGTTAATACCTCTGCCTGTCTAAGGAGGGTGCAGTGTAGGTGGAATTTACATCCCTTTAGGCTGGGAGAGACAGCCACAAAGCCCTGCTTTATTATGGAGTTGTTTATGAGACTGTGAACTCCCAAGATTTTGGGGGAAAACCTTTATTTAAATGCTTGAAATTTTGCTACTGGGTATGCCTCACGCTTCATTCTCTTGACTGAGCCAAGCATTACTTTCCAAGCAGTGTGATAACTGGAGAAATGCTGATTATGCCAGTGATCAGACATGAGCAAGACAGTGGGGTTAGCAGGTAGACATCAGAAATTCTGGCTATAGTCTCCCTTGTGTGCAAATTAATCTATGGTGCTGCATGCTTGCTAACTGCCAGCGTTCCTTATTTGGTGGGACTTTTGCGTGGGCATTGCTGTCAAGCATGCCTGTCATTTGAACAGCCTTATCATCTTGCTCCAGTTTGTAACTTTTTTTCTGTTAAAGCTGCAAATCTCCTTCAGTCTTATTAGATCTCAAGATCCTGGATTTTGTCAGCTTATCAGTGTGAACATTACTCAGAGACATTATACAGCATGTTAGCTTAGTAAAGGGCAGTGCACTAGCTGACAGCTCCCTAGTAGCTGCATTTTTTTTCTTAAGATAATTATCAAGGCCCCCACCTGCATTAATGCTTTTGTCCACAGATCCAAGAATGCAGGAGAGGAACTAGCACCTGGAAGAAAAAACTGTCTGAATTCAAATATAGGCTAGCCATGAGCACTTCACAATGAAGGACATAGCAGGTCCTTCCCAAAGACACTGACTTTGTAAGTGGTGCTTCCTGTTGTTGGATTTAAGTCTCCATACAGCAGTGTAAACTCAGCCTCATGTAACAGCAACCAGAGCGATCCCAAACTGCACTGGTGATTTGCAGTCACCTTTAGCCTGGAGCAAGGCACATGACAAGCACAAAGCAGTGCTTTGTCTGTTGGGCAGAGAGGGGGAAGACGTCCTTCCAGCAGGAAGTTTAGAGAGCCAGAGTGGTGTAATCCAAGTTGGTGTTTTTCCAAGCCATTGGGCTTACCTTGTGCTGAGCACCACTACCCCACAGCAGCATCCTGACTTCTTCTCTCAGCCCTGGAGTGTAGGAAATGCACATGTGCACAGCCTTCTCATCTCAGTCATGCTTTGTAATGTGCTCTGTGCTGGAAGGTAGCTGTTGCTATTGCACTAGTCAGACTGCTGGAGCAGCTTTGGAGCAGCCATGCTTGGAGAGGCTTTGGCTGAGAGTGTTGTGCCACCTCAGCCTGCTAATGCCTCCTTGCACCAGCAAGCCTGAGTGAGGAAACCTGTAGCTAGGAACACGTGGGGCAGTTGCTGGCCTTCCTGTGGACTGGGAGCACTACCACTGTAGCACATGAGACAGGATGGAATCCCTGCACAGAGGCAGCTGCTCACTGTCTGCTGAAAAACTTTCCTGTTTCCAGGGAAGCTGAAAACTTGCTGATGGACGAGCCTTTGGGTTGCTTCCTTGTTCGGATCAGCCAGAGCCAACCGGGCTATACCTTAACATACAGGTAAGTAATAAGCCTTGCAGAGAAGGCTCAGGGAAGACCTTATCGCGCTCTACAACTACCTGAAAGGACGTTGTAGTGAGATGGTATCAGTCTTTTCTCCCATGTAACAAGCAACAGGACAAGAGGAAATAGTCTCAAGTCGTGCCAGGGGAGGTCTAGATTGGATATAAGGAAAAATTTCTTCACTGAAAGGGTTATCAAGCATTAGAACAGGCTGCCCAAGGAAGTAGTGGAGTCACTGTCCCTGAAGGTATTTAAAAGGTGTGTAGATGTGGCACTTAGGGACAAGGTTTAGTGGTGGACTTGGCAGTGCTAGGTTAACAGTTGGACTTGATGATCTTAAAGGTCTTTTCCAACCTAAACGCTTCTATGATCCTACGAAACTGAGCCATGCATGGCTGGAGGAGTTAACCTCCTCCACAGAGGAGTCCAGTGAGGACGATGCTCAGCCTTTCCTATTGTGGGCGCGTCAGTTTGGAGTAGCAGTTGGGACACAGTGGAGTCTCTCTCCTTGCCCCAAATTAGATCTGTTTGTGCGTGGGGTGCTGTGGCTCCAAGGATGCAGGTCCTTCTTAGGCTGTACTATATGGCTGAGTGGGCATACCAGGTTGGAAGGAGCAGTGACTGAAGCAGAGGAGTCTAGAGGACAGCCTGAGGAGAGGCAGTTGGAGTGCTGCAAGGGCATGGTCTTTGCACAGCCTCAGGCAAGGGGTAGGACAGAGTTTTAATGTGGACAACAGGCATGGGAGGCAATAGAGTCTGCGGGGATTTGGATCTGGCTGCTGGGGTTCTCCTGTCACTGACTTTGGGGAAACTGATGCTCCTCCAGCACCTACTAGCACAGCGTGTGACACACCAGCATGGTGCATCTCCTGCATCTTTTTAATATTTGTTACTGTGGCTCCTGATCACATCTGGCCTCTTGAGGCAACAAGTGCAGAAAGCAATGACTGGGTCCTGGAGAGATGTTGCCATGACTATTTCTCTCTGTCCATCTCCCCAGGGGCGAAGGCCGCTGCAGACACTACATGATCCAGGTGCAGCCCAATGCACGCTATGTCATCCTGGGGGAAGACCAGGCTCATGCCTCGCTCACTGAACTGGTTCAGTATCACCAGGCTGTGGGCATCCAGCCCTTCATGGAAAAACTGACTGTGCCCTGTGGGCAGGTGAGTGTTGACGATCTGCAGCCAGAAGAGGGGATGGGGCATGGACTGTGCCCTGAGCAGATAAAGTCACTGCGGCAGCTTCTCTCTTTTGTGTTCCCATTGGGGGTGTCCCATTCTGGCCAAGCAGCTTGGCCTCTTCTGCGTGCACTGGGAAGCACTACTAGCTGGGCACTGGGGAGTCCTGGGGTGGGGGAGAGGCCCTGGTGGGTGGATGACACCCCCCTGCCCCCTGAATGTCAGCAGTGGGCACAGCTGGGTATTCCTCTTTGTTGTGCTGTTTGGGATGTGTGGAGGGTCTGCAAGCCACTGCTGAATCCACTCTTCCCTCCCTCAGAAAAGTAGTGAGATTTTGGATTGCAAAGATCTGGAGTGCCTCACACTGGATCTGCCAGCAGCCATGAGGGAGACCCCTCTGGAGGAGCAGCCCTGCCCCTCCGGGCCTTCCACCAGCAGATCTGCTCTGCAGGCAAGAGCAGCCGCAGCTCTCAGACACATGTGGTCCGGGAGGACCAAGAATTTCACAGACCAACAGAGCCTGGACAAGAGTAAGACAACGCCAAGCTCAGGCAAGAAGAGAGTCTTCCCTCGCCTCCACTCTTCCATACGCCTGGCGATGCAGGAAATCCAGCAGGTGAGCTGGGGCATATCCTCTGCCAAGCCTTGCCACCCACAGCCACTCTAGGACACGTGGAGCTGCCCTACCCAGGGGCAGGAGAGAGGAGGCTTCCACAAGTAGTGCTCAGTTTCCTAGCTCCTGGGTCACAGGTTTTATCTGGTGGTCTTGGGATCAAGACTGTGTTCATTGGAAATGCTGGGCTGGGGGCAAACCTGGGAGAGGGTCACTGAGATGCCCAAAGAAAAGCCCACAATAGAAGGGGCTGTGATGCGGCCAGCATCCCAATCACTGCTCCCCTAATGCTGTCTCTGCTTCTCACTGCAGTTATCTTCCGCTCCCTTGAACACTTCTGTACGGAGCTGCTGTCAATCTCTCAGCACCGATGAAGTAAATCCCGAGTGACACGGTAAGAAGAGACAGCACACAGGAGGGCACACAGCAATTGCAGCTTCCCCAGGGAATGGAGGGACAAAGGGGCTCTTCCCTTCGTGCTCCACCTGGAGCATCTCTTGGCCGCCAACTACCCAGAAACAGAGCAGGAAAAACAGAGGGCAGTGGCTGGCTTCTGTTTCAGGACTGCAAAGAGACCAGGAAAAATGGGAAAAATCAACATAAGGCTGGGTTCCCAGCACCTGTGGCACACAGTGTGCTTGCAGTTCAGTAACAAGGCTGCTGGAGGGAGCTCACAGTTTGTTAGAGGCCTGGGTCTGGAAGGACAAGTACTATCAGAAAGCACATCTGCATGCTACAATAGTCAGCTGCAGTGGCTTAATGCTGTGGAGGGAGGTATGTATCAGAAGTGGGTGCTGGGCAGAGCACCCTAGTGGGTAGCAGAGGCAATAAGCCCAAGGCAAGGCTGAGAACATAAGAAAAGGCAGGGGTCTCTGAGGACTTTAAACAGGGTCTCAGCAGCTGGCAACACAACTGATTACTGAGGCTGTAATATACGGGGTTATAAGAGTGTATGGAGTGGGCCAGGAAGGGCCTTCTGACACAGCTGGCTATGCCCATTGCATTAACTGTCTGAAGCATCTAGTGGATGTGCAGCTCCCCTGTGCAGCCAGTGGATAAATCCCTGTCCCGTTCACTTGCTGAAGTCAGGAGGAAGCAGTAGTGGTGCTATTGTACACTTCTGGAAAAATCTGGATTTGTGTCAGCTGGGAGTGGAGAGGGATCAGAAGACCAAGCTGTTGGCTGCAGACCCACTGCAGGGCTTGCAGCCTTGCGCCAGGATTGCTGAGTTCCCTGTGTGGTTCCACTCCCAGGAATTCATGTTGGAGCAAAGCTTTTTAGCTGGGGCCTGTTTTGTCTTCCTCTTTATGGTTGAGAAAATCCTCTCCCTGAAGTGTTTGACTCAATTGCTTCATTCCTGTATGTGGGTATTGATGTACCCAGGGGATGCTCCTTATGTCTGAGGTTAGGCAGAAGACAGACAAAACATGTGGGATCTGCATAGATAAGTGCAGGCGTGTTGTACTGGGATTGCTGAATAGAGCCCTCCTTTTACGTCCTCCACTGAGTTGTGTTTCTTGACTTCCCTGCAGGTCGAAGTGGCTCAGCCCTATCTTCCAGTGCTGCTGGGCCTTGCCTAACTTGGTGAACATATCCAGACATACAACAGCCTTTTTTCTTTTTTTTTTCCTTTTTTTTTTTTTTCCTTTTTGTTTTTGCTGCACCCACTGGCCATGTGCCTTTAGACAGGACTGCTGCAGAAATTAACTTACATCAGCACTCAGCTGGTCTCAGTGGCTGACACTGCAGTATCTGGACCAGTCCCATCCTGGCAGAGGGGAGAGGATGGGAACAGTCACTCTCTGCACAGACCCCTCAGTGCCTGACAGTCTGTGTGTCAATACTTCAATGTGCCTGGGGACCCCTCACTTTGCACTGTTAATAGTCACAAACTGGATATCTCCCAGCAACCTGTTCTGTCACAGATACCTGTACTGATTTCCTACCTCTTTTTCAACTCCTCTGTCTCTGTTTTAGTCCTGTGATTCCACTACTCTGGGTGCCAAGGGAAGCTGGGCTTGGGAACTAAGGAATGAACGTGGCGTGTCCTTTTTGTTGAGTGCAGGAGCACTTGAACAAGAGCTGAGACGAGGGGTAGGAAAATCTTTCTGCGGAGGGAATTTCCTGCCCTTGCATCAGTGTGCTGGCGTGGTGCTCCACACTCCTTAGCCAGAGCTGGAGTCAGGGAATCATTGGTGAAACCCTCTTGTTCATCCTGGTTGAAATCACTACAAGTCTGGGTGCGACAACATCCTACTTTAGACTGAGGGTAGAGGGCTTGCAACATATGGGACTGTGCTACTTGTTACGTCTTTTCCACCCTTTAAGATAAATCTCTTCTAAATTAAATTCTTTGTACAAGGAGAAACTCAGCGTTTTCTTTGTTTCTGTTACCTGCAGTCAGTTCAGCTGTGGACTGCAAATGGAGGAGAACGGCTAACGCCTCTGAGGGTAGACACAGGATAATGCACAGTGGCTCAGTGCAGAAGCTGAAGGCTTATGGGTCAGTAATCCTGGTGTACAACTGCCACCTGTAACAGTGCTCTCCTCCCATGCCAACATCATTTCCCCTGTGTATGCTGTGGGCGAGACCTCCCTTTTGCAGCCTGTGCTGAGCTCCCTCTGGCTCAGTGCTTCCCTGGCAGATGCCTCTGCACCGGAGGACAGCCACACTGCCCACCCCACTTCACCCCTCCCTGGCAGGCACGAGTGTGGCTGAGTCCAGGCTGCATAGGCTAATGCCATGGCCAGAGAAGCTCAATGTGATCCAGCATGCTTGTGGCAGTGTCTTTGTGCTGCCTTTAACCATGGGACTGTTTCTCTTTCCTCCCCTGTGCTCTCTGCAGCAGTAGTGCTGAGCTGTGCTGGATTATAAGGCAGCACTGCTAGGGACCAGACAGGGAAGCAGTGGTTGTTTCAGCCTGATGTCCTGGCTCTCCCCAGCACTGCCTTGCAGCATTAACCCACCTTTTCTCTTCCTCATGCTGGGTTTTGGCAGCTGCTTTGAGGCTGTTCAGGACAGAACCATTCCAGGCAATCAGAGGCTGCTGTTTGCAGAGTCTTCCTGGCTAAGCCCAGGAACGTTTTGCTGGGCAACCTTGGCCTCTGTGCCAGTGTTCTCCTTGGCTTCCTCCACCACTGGGCAGCTGGAAAGCCTGCCTTCTGGGTAGCATGTAGAACCACTTCATGGCCAAAGCATTTCTAAGAACTTAGCAATGCGCAGAACTGAGACATGTATGAGAAATGCATTTCAGTAACAGAGCTGCTCTCTAACTCTTTCCTGCCACAGAGCATGGTGGAAGCCTAGGGCTAAGGTGCAGCTGCAAACCACTGTTCACTCCTGTAGCCTGGCAGGGATAATGCTGAACCAAGGAGGGTGGTGAAGAGCTTTCCCCCAGCAGCTCTCTCCAGTACCTTCTGGGTGCTGCTGCAGGCACAGCTCGCAAGTGATGCTAGGGGGGAATGACGACAGAGGAGGGTCAGGACACTTCTCTGGTGGGTATGCATGGCACATCTCCTGGTGAGCTTCCCAAAACCAGAGCAGATCAATCACAGATATCTTTTGCCCCCGATTCAATGGGTGGGAAGTAGAATGGCAATGTGAGCAGCCAGGAACCTGGCACAAATGTGGGCAGCACACCTGGGCTGGCAGGTCAGGTTTCTTCCACATCTGCTACTTCTGCTTTTTCTGTGATATGGCAAGAAGAAACCAAGGGAAGAGAAGGGTGAGAAGCTGCTTGGCTAAGGAGGTTATGCAGCACTGGAGGCACTGGCATGACTTCTGCAAGGCTGCAGTTTGCAGCAGCTTCAGCAAACACTTAATGCTCTGCCTATACACAAGGTCTAGCCAAGCTTCTGGAGAGCAGTCTGGCCAGTGCTGGGCTGTCGTGGGGAGAAATGTGTACCGGCAATGGGGAAAAGCTGAGAGAAGAGCTGGGAATGCAATGGGCTGCTGAAGAATAAAATGCAGATTTGACATCTCTAGTGTGGTCTTTGCCTGTATGCTTCCAGCTTGTGGCCAAAGTCAGGCACTTGAGCTTCAGCTCTGTGGGAGAGCATGACTTATGCTAAGGATTTCTGTCATCTTCTGCCTGAAGATGATCTTATCCGCTGAAGAGGAGCAGCTACACAAGCAGCCCTAGATCATTTCCTATGGCAGCAGCTTGCCTTGTGGCACTTGGAAAGTTATGTCTTAGAAAAAGCGAAGATCAAATTGTGTAAGCCAAAGTGGGAAGGCCGTTCATGTTATATCATGTTACAGTTCAGTTGGCGTGCGATGAACTGAATGGGATGTACTCACATAAAAGGCAAATACCAGGCTGTGTGAGCAGGGGCAGCACCCAGAAGAAGGTCTGGCAGCCCACAGATCCCCTGAGCACTGAGTTTCATGCTCCATGGCACTTCAGCTGAACTCAGAGAGGAAGGCTAGGAAGAGAAGCCAGGGCGTGGGGGGCTGGGCAGACCCAGCACCCAGGAAGGTAGGAAGAGCAGCAAGAAGGATCTGCAATCCACAGGAGCAAGAACTGGAAGTGCTAAAGGGAACTCTGGGTTTGAGGCTTGGGAGGAATTTTATATCATAATCTGTGCCACCTTAATCATCGTGTCCCCCCCTACTCCATCCCTACAATTGGTGCTTCAGTGCATCTTTTAGAGAACTTCCCTAACCTGCCTCTCTGTTTTTGCAGAAGGGTTTTGCTTCCCTTTCTTACCTCCCTCCGTGCTTTACATCTGAACAATCTTGGCTGCAAACATTTTAGCTAAACATCTCTAGGCTAACACCTACTCCAGATCAGTCTCATTCTGTCCAAACTAAAGCTCTGGCTTGCCTTTGGCCCTGGAGGTATCTGGCCAGCAACTCCCCATCAGGCTGGCTAAACCAGAAATTTTTGTTCTTCTCTCCTTCCATTCTCAACCCTTCTTGTTCCCCCTTTTCCCAACTCTGCTTTTTTCTCTCCTCTCCTCAGTCTGGCTATCATCTTTGATATAGACTTGAGGTTTAGGAAGGTGAACCTGTGACCCAAGGCTCTTAAACTCTTTCCACAAATCTGGCAGCCCTCATGTTGTTTGCTTTCTTCCTGGGCAATGCTATGGTGTATGTTGACATGTTTCCTTCCCCAGATATGTTTTAAAGACCTATTTGGCCCTCAGCCTGGACAAGGCTCTCCACACGGCTCTTAGCCTCACTCCAGCCTATGTCAAGTGACCGTGGAGTGTTGTAACAGCATCTCTGAGATACAGTCTTTCCTATCATCTGGTTAGCTTCATTGTACACACCAAATACTTGCATGGTGTGCCATTGCTTTGCAGCAACATTTAGGACAGGCTACTTGACCAGGGCTTTGCTTATCAACTTGCTCCTCCTGGTGCATCACAAGAGCATAGAAACTGCTGTCTGTGATGAAGCACAGGATCCTGGCCATGAAGGTGGCCAGTGCGGTACGCTTAGAGCAGATTGAAGAGCAATGTAGGCATAAAGCCATGCTTCCTCTGCTACGTGTTTTGAGCAATACTCAGTTTAATCTTACCTGACCAAAGTATCCTTCTGTCCAGCTGTCCTTGCTGGGTTGCTATTACAGAAGAGCATCTGATTGCTTTTGATCCATTCTAGATTATTTTGCCTCTGTAGCAACCCTAGGCAATTAATTCCTCAGACTTATGATACATAGCAAAGTACTTAAATTTGTTTGGTTTTTAACCTGCTATGTTGTTATTTAATCAACATGCCCTTGTTTCTATACTATAAAACATCACAAGTAATTGTTTCCAAAACACCTCACTCACTGCAAATGATTTTATATACATCAGCTTCTCTCCTTTGACTGTCTTTTCTGTCCTATGCATTTGATTTCCCTTCCCCCTTTTTTTGCCTCTTCTTAATTCTTCTGTATCTTCTCTGAAAGGGAAGGGAAAAAACACAGGGCTGACCTCCAGGCCACTTCCCTGAATGGGAATAAGTGGTCTGAACTCTCTCTTTGTGCAGGTGGAGCTTCTCCTTGTAAATTACATCTACCAACACTGACTTCAGTTTGTCATTTTATCATCCAGCTGTTCATTGTGAGATCTTTCTTGAACTCTGCAGTGAATGCTCATTTTCACTACACTGCATACCTCAGCCTCACCACCAAACTTTGCCCCATCACTGCTCACACCCTTTCCCAGACCATTTATGAATACAGCAAAAATCACAAGCCCTAGCACAGATCCTGGTGGGACAGCACTGGTATGTTCCTCCATCTTAAACACTGACCGTTTTCCATTCACTATCTTCTGCCTTGTTATTAACCATGGGAATAAACATGTTATGGAGAAGAGCAACTAAGGACACTTGGTATGGGACCTGGCTGAAAGTGTTTTGGGCATCCAAGTACATCCATCTATCCAGACACATCCATGAAACAGAATTCCTCACTCCTTAAAGGAGTGAGACATTACTTCCTTCTGCTAGAGTGGGGTGGTTTCTTCCCCTTTAATCCCATTTCTCTACATGCCCAGGGATGCTATTCCTAACTCCCAGTGTGGAACTCAGGTTCACAAGTCATAGGTCTCCAGATTTACCCAATGCTCTTAAAAAACCAAAAGCCCAACCCTGGCATCTCATTTGCCTTGTGTCATTCCTCTGGTTTCAGGCTGAATTAAGCAACAGGTGACACATCCCATAGCAGCTGAGAAATCTGTGTTGGGGTTCCTCCAGAGCTCTTGGATAAATGCCATCTGTGTCATTTACTGTTTGTGTTATAAATTTGTTTTGAAACGTACCCTGTTGATTCTTTCACTTGACGCAGGTTGCTTCATTCATCCCTGCAGAAGGAGGTTGCAGTATGGGAGTTTCCCTTTGTTCCTTGCTGGTGTGAGTAACTCATTGTGCTCTTCTGCTGGGCCTCTGTCTTCTTTCTGAATGGTCTTTCACACCTCTGTTATTTGTTCACTCTATGGCAAGCTTTCAGTGTAAAAATGTTTTTGGTTTGGGGTGGTTTAGTGGGTTGGGGTTTTTTTTTAGTTTTTCAGCTTATCACTCTAACAGACTCTGTTATGGTT